CATCTCATATATATATATATATATTACATTTTTGACAAAAATATCACTCTATAATTTTAAAACTCAGATACAGCACATATATCAAAATAGGTATAAGAATCACTGTTATTCTGTGACAGTTGCTTCTATTTAAGTCAGCTTGGGGATGTGAGAAGTGTCAGTAATATGTAAAGCTTCCAAAGATTGCTGATATTGCCAAGCATGGACGTATTATTAAAGTGATAGTTGTTGCAATAATGCATTAAAGACTAACAATTTCAAATGCTAATTTCTGATCCTGGTTAAACTCTTAATAATTTAGGCAGGCAAAATATAATTAGCACTTTTCATCACAGACTCCCCCGTGGGGTTTTTTTGCACATCCTAACTATCGAAAAATATATTATCCTTCTTGCTCTGCTGATAATGCTCACAATGTTTCTGTCCTTCAAAATTTAAAGATGGTAGATCTGTTGACATGTTCGGGTTATTTCAATTTTTGGCAGGCATTAACAGTCAACTGTCAAACTGCATAATTATGCAAAATTGTCAAATATATGTGCCAGCTTTTAGAGCAAAGATGGAAAACTTGCAGCCTGATTGGAAAGTGGCATATATTTGAAATCTGGATGCAACATAAAGACCAATATCTGCATTCTCAAGCAATAATATTATTTTTATTATTATTTTATATAGATAGAAATTTATAACTTTCATGTACTAATCAAAACATAGCCATTTTGTGTAATTAATAGCAAATTTAAATTTGTAAGATGCCGATATAAATGTTAAAAGTAAACTTCTGTTTGCCTTTACATATTAGACACACAATTCCTTCATATAACAAGTAATGACATTTAATGAATGACCCATTAGCCACATATATAATTAGAAAATGAATAAATATGATTTTTACAGATACTTTATAATTCATGATTGTGTTCAGAAAGTTATTTTGAGCAGGACAAAATATGCTTCTAGAATCTTTATTTCATATTCTAGAACCTTTGTGATACCTCATCTTCACTGTGATGAGATTAGTCAAAGTTTATAAGATTTATATAGGTGGGGCTGGCTTGAATCATAGTTGTTGTTTTTTTTTAAAAAAAGTGCTAAGGGTACAGCTAGCCCTTAGTTATCACTTTAAGTGGACTGATGGTATAAGAGTGATGATTAACTTTTTTTCCAATGGCTCGTTGCATACTGGATGAGTTTGTGTATTGAATTAATGAAACAAGTACCATCTTTAGTGTGTTTTGTTCATTCCTGTTCCCTTTATCTATCAGCAGGACACACAAGAGACACATATATCTTTTCAAGGCAAAGATAATCAAAAATCCAGAAAATCCAATGGGGGCAAATTCTTTTTCATAGAACTATGGCTTGCAGAGACCATCTTTGCTTCTGAAATTTAGGATAAGGGAAGTAGTTTAAGTTCTAAAATTATCCATCCGGTGGGGGAAAATGCTAAGAAAAAAATATTCAAACTAAAGGTCAGTTTACAAAGGAGTGTTAACCAAACAGAAACTTTAATGATCATATGAACAATTGTCAAATACAGTAATTTTTAGAAGTGCAGACAGTTCTCTTGGTTTAACTACGTTCCTTCTTGCACTAATTTTTCATGCAATTATGTCTGATTTCTTCTAACAGTAGGGAAAAGTAAGAAGTCTTTCGTGTTTATTTTTACTTCTATATTCTTCTTTGCTGTTAGTAGAATGCTCAAATCAGTAATGGCAGGCAACAGCAAAAGAGCTTTCCAAGGCTTTCCATAAAAATGCCCAAAGCTCCTAACTTTGACAGCCCCTGCTATAGAAATGCAGAGACACTTAAATATATGCTGGCTGGCTCATCAGTTCTTATGTGATCTGGATTTAAACCTGATATTCCAAGGTAGTCTATATATAATGATATGCCTGGTTCCATCTGACACTGTGGAAGAATACATAAATTTTTGAAATACATTAGAGACCACTACAATATTTTATTGAACTGAGCTCAGTGAGTTGAATAGATTAGAAATTATAATCTATTGCCATGGTTTCTAAGATTGGAAGAAGATTTAGCCGCCTATCCCTGAGCTACTACATTATTGGGAGCGAAATAAATAGACACTAAGACAGAATCCATACATAATCTTGGGCTTTGTCGCATTTTTAAAAATGTATTGAATGTTCAGTGGCTGAAGCCCAGAGATGGTTCTATTTTGTTTGAAAACGTGTATTTTAAGATTCCAAAAAAGAACTTCCACAAAAGCAAAAGAATATTGTGCTTAAACATTACAGGACATATACATACACATTGAATGTGCGTCAATTCAGCCATTAATTTGTATAAAGATCGGTTTTGTATAGCCTATGACAACTGTACCTATCCTTAAGCTTAGGTAAGAAAAACTGTATTAGTGTATTCATTGAACATGTATTAGATGTGATGTCTCGATATCTCTTTTGCTACCTCTGAAGTACAAATCTTATCCAATCTTTTTGAAATGCCTTCCATTTTGGAATCTGGATAATGATCAGATTAAAAATGAATCCATACAGCCACATTAGAAAAAAAAAAACATTCTCATACATTATTTCACCATAAACTATACAAATTTCTCTTGAAACGGAAACCGAGGTCAGATCATCATGACTAGCTTAATTAACCATGTGAAAATACAGACTACTCACCATTTCTTGAAGGCATAAAGCATAACATTGTCCTCCCTAGGTTCTCAGCCCATCAGGAAGATAATTTCCACCTATTTTTTCTGTCGTGTGTTAAAAGCAGTGTTTTGAATTGTGTGTTAAAAGCAATTACTCCTTACAGTTATAGGTTATTATAATCCATGACCAGTTTTCATAAATTCTCAAATAGAATGGTAAAAAAAAAAGTGTTTCTCTCTCTGTCTCTACAAATTCACTGGTGAAATGGTCAACTTATCCTTTTGTCGAAATTCACTGATGATACAGGCATAGTGAAAGTTTGGGCTTAATGTTGTTGTTGCTAACAACTGACAAGAAGAAAGATGAGCGATGGGGGAGGGAAGAACTATTTTCTAAAGTGCCAGAAGGCAAGAGAAGAATCAACAGATAGAAACTAAACAAGGTGAGAAGCAACCTAGAACTAAGAAGAAATTTGCTGGCAGTGAGAACAATCAACCAGTGGAATGCCTTGTATTCTGAAGTTGTGGGTGTTTCATCACTGGAGACTTTCAAGAAGACTGGACAGCCACTTATCTAAAATGGTATAGATTCCCCTGGTTGGGGGTTGGATTAGAAAACCTCCAAGGTCCCTTTCAATTCTATTATTCTACATTCTGTGTTCTACTTGCCCCTTCGAGTTCAAAGGAGAAGAAAAATGTTAAAATTGAAATATTTTCTTTCTTTTCTGTGGTAAATGAAGTTTGTAGACAACATGTAATAGCCAAAGTGGAGGAAGAGGCTGAAATGCAAGCACTAGTTTCATTTCTAACCTGTTTACACATGAGATTCCTACAGGCAAAACCTGCAGTGCAGAAAAACCAAAAACTGAAGATTGTGATATGGCACAGAGGGCTTTTCTTTCACTGAATACATATCAAACTGTGCTTTGAGTAAAATAGACTTGGGAATTAAGTATTTAGTTCAATGAACAGGTCAATGAGCAGAATCCAATGCCAGTGTTAATGATTTGGGAATCAGTGTTTAAATTTCTCCCCATCAAGCAGTTATGTGAATAAACAGAAGAGTTTAAAATATACACCTTGCATTTGGAGAGTGTTGTGGCACAGTTCACATCTCAGCAATGTATAAAAATAAATCTATAATTGTCTGCAGAATGGTACAAAATCCAGCTTGCAGGAAAAGAAAAATGTGCCCACTCAGAAAATAATGCATACAAGAAGAAATATGCATAAACATATTTACAAATATTAATTGCAATATGCCCTTGTACATTTTTATGTGTTTGGAGTCTTGATAAAGCTGATAAATTAAAAGAAAAGGGAGAAAGAGGAAGATTGTGCATTCATGTTTTGTGATTCTTGAAGCCACCAACTGTCAAGGTTCCAATAGACAAGACCAAACTGATTGCATAGCATTAGGGTGGGACGTTCAACTTTGTAATATTGTCTCTCTTTGAAGGGGATTTCAGACTTGGTTTAATGTCAAGGTTCCAATAGGCAAGACCAAACAAATCAGAACTCTGAGGCTTGAAATTTCCTCAAAGAACATGTTTATTGGTTACATAGTATCGGCATGGTCAAAAGTGAAACTAAATCTGAAATCCCCTTCAAAGAGAGACAATATTACAAAGTTGAACTTCCCACCCCAATGCTATGCAATCAGCTATGTTCCCCAATAGAACAGTTTGGTGGGCTTTCTAACCAAATGCTCAAGCCCCCCCCCCCCAATCTAACAGACAGAAATGACCTTGGTTCCCATGGGACAGTAAAATGTTTAGACTAGTAGAAATCCTCCACACTCCCTCCTATTCTTTTGGCAACCTAGAATGAGCAAAACAGCTTCAGCCAGGTTCGTCGTAGAGTTGACACCAACATATAGTCATTTAATTGAAAGAGGGATTTGTACTAGCCTTCTTTTCCTAGTTCTTTGTCAGATTTTTTTTTCTTTTCATTTGTTTTTAAATTTACAGGCAGAATTCCAGCAGAGCTATGAAATGTTTTCCTGACCAAGGGATCTGACAGGGCAAGGTAAACATTTACATTATTTAAATACCTGACATTGACAATATGAATATTCCCTGTATCACATTAAAGACAAGTGACCTCAAATATAAATAAAATATCTGCTTATCCGGGTTTCGTTTTGTTTTTTCCTGCCTTTAATAAGACGTTGGAAGTAAAATGGTTTAAAACTCAATGAGATTATTAGATAAATGATTCACATCTTTCCCTTTGGGGACATAAAGTATACAATTTTTCAATGCAGAACTGTAGAAACTTGAAAACAAAAATAAACATGGCAGAAAATGTAGCATTTTTTGGGGGGAAATTCTTTATTATAGTAGAAGAAATGTAGAGTTGTGTAATTAAAATTCTAGCACATACACACACCAGGAATTGGTATAATGTAATTAGTGGAATTGACACTCACGACATCTGAAGAGTAAAAAAGAAAAATCTCTCTTCCTATGCTAGAACAACTGATTTTCAGCATAGATGTCCCACAGTTACAAAATAACATTGATTCACTATGTAATATGATTTTTATTCATGGCTCCTAAGTGTTATATTTCAACTGTTTATGTCTAAAGCCTATGCAAAATGGCTATATTCATCACAAACTTTGATTTTTGTGACCACAGCCTATAAAAGTTTTATATTTATAGAGACAAAACAGATGAATTTGTATCTTTTTGAGCAGTTAAAGTACTATATGTGTACAGCAAATACAGAAAGACATCAAAACCACTCAAAAGGATTCAGAAATGAGTAGATTTTCTAGATTTGTGGCTATACTGCAAATCACTTTCTCAAAGTAGCCCCCAAATATAGTCCCCCATCATGTTTTCATTATAATGTCCTTGGTAATGATGTTCAAAGTCCAGTATGGTGAAAGCTCTCGTCTTGCTCCTCTAAGTAAGCATCCATGTTCTCCTTGAGCGTTAAGGATACGGACTTTAAGGAACATTCTGCATCCCATTTTGGCATAGTTCTTTATGAGAGTCTAAAGTAGATGCTCATAGTTTTCAGCCTTGTGAGTGCCCAGAAAGCTGTGAACCACTGCAACAAAACTATTCCAAGCTGCTTTCTCCCCTGTTCAGCTTTTTGGTGAATTCTTCACACTCTATGATCTTCTTTATCTGTGGTCCAACAAAGATATCAGCTTTAACCTTTGCCTCCGACAGCTGTGAAAAGAGATCTTGGAGCTACTTGAAAACTGCTGACTCCTTGTCTAGAGCCATGACAAATTGTTTGATGAGGCATAACGTGATGTGCAGAGGTGACATCAGCACCTTCCAAGGGTCTACCAGCAGTTCCCACTTTATGTGGCTCTTCCCTAAAGAGAACTCAGTGTGCTGTGGCCTGTCCCTTCTATGATAGTGCATCTTAGTGTCCTGGCTGTCCCAGAGGCAAAGAAAACAAGGAAACTTCATGAAACTGCATTGGAGGTTCATCAGGAATGATTCATTTTAAAGTCTCCAATGACTTCGCAGCCATACTTCAAGGCACTCAGCAACATCTTGACACTAGTTTAGTCCCCTTTGAGGTGCACAGAATGAACCATAAGGAGAGATGGGTACTTGTTCACATTATGAAGCAACACGGCTTTGAGGCTTCTGGATGAACTGTCTTTGAATAGGAACCATTCACTTGGGTTAGCGGTGATTCCTATAGCCTTGAATAGACTGGCCACAATGTTGCAGAAGCACGGCCCATCTTGCCGACTGAAGAAGTTTGAAAAATGTTGACAACACTTTCTCTGATCTGTGACTTGCACACTTTCACCCAATAAGTTCCACTCCTTGAGCCTAGATGTCAGAGGTTCAGATGATAAGATGAAAGTCTCTGATCAGATCATTGAGGTCTTTATACTTGGGGAAGTATGGTTTTCTCTCCTCAGCCACCTCTGTGAAATTGTAATCTGTGTCTGCAATATCTTCCTTGATGTCTGACTTGCTTCTCTCTCCTGAATATGGCTGATCTCTCTCTGGAGGGTGGGAACAGGGTGATGGATGAAGGAATGTCTGGATACATGATAAGAGGCACACTCTTGCCGCTTGAACGTTTGGAAGGGTTGCTTGAGTGGTCAATCAATTCCCGCTAAATTCTTAGAATAGGAAACTTCATGGCTCTCTTTTCTCCCCTGTACCAGCCTGTAAACATAGCCAAATTATATACATTTTAAAAAATTATATTTCACACTTTACCTAATATTATGCAAGATATTACCTTGGGACATTATATATATATATATATATTATCTGAGATTTTTGCGGGTTTTTGTATGTAGGTCTTTGGTTATTTGGGTTTTCTCCCACGTAAAATTGGAAGTGTCTTGGCGACGTTTCAATGAAGTCCCATTCGTCATCTTCAGGCTGATGTTTTTAGCTTCTAGGAGCACCTAGAAGCACGAAGCCGAAAACACCAGCCTGAAGATGACGAATGGGACTTCATCGAAACGTTTCCAAGACACTTCCAATTTTACGCGGGAGAAAACCCGAATAACCAAAGACCGACCTATTTATCTATCTATCTATCTATCTATCTATCTATCTATCTATCTATCTATCTATCTATCTATCTATCTATCCTTAATGACTGTACAAATCCGAATCCCGGGCATATCACATTTCCAATTTTACGTGGGAGAAAACCCTAATAACCAAAGACCGACCTATCTACCTACCTACCTACATACATACATACAGACACACACACACACACACACACACACACACACACACACACACACACACACACACATATATATATATATATATATATATATATATATATATATATATCCTTAATGACTGTAAAAATCCGAATCCTGGGCATATCTGTTCAATAATACACAATCTTCGAACTCTGGGAGGAATATAAATCAGCTGTTTATTGTTAAAAAATTTAAAACAATAAAAGCAACTATTTACAATACTAAAACAAACTTAGCTTTTGCTGATTCACTGTCAGCATCTTCAGAGTGAAGTGTTGGGGGTGGAGAGATCTTTTATAAGCCTTGATAACCTAGTTTCTTACTCATTGACCGTGTGATAGGGCCATTCGTCCTGACTCACCGTAATTGCCTTAACTGTCTGGCCTCCCCTTGTTTGCACTCCAGTTCCACAAGTTCTCTCTCTCCCCTCCATGTCCATCTTCTCCTTCCTGGTGTTGTTGCCATTGGTATGCCTTCTAGCTGCTCCCTCGCACTCACTTTGGGCCGTGGGTCCGGATCCAGTATCCCAGGTGCCCTTACGCTGCTGTTCCCCTCTCTTCCATTCTATTTATCTGCCTGTTGTTCCTGTCTTCCACTGTTTATCAGTATCCTATTTTCTCCAGTTTCCCCTCACGTCTGGGTGTGTGTGCCTGCAGCCCTGCCCCGTCCTTCCATCCCATCTGTCTGCAATTAGCTGGGCTGCCTGCCGGCTCGCTTCTGAATTCACTCTCTCTCATCCTTGCCAATCCTATCCTTGCATTCGCCGGCTATCTCCCCACAGTCATTCTGGGCTGGGCGCTCAGAATTGGCGCTGTCAGTGCTTCTTCACTGCTGTCCCCCTCTGATCATCCACTGTTGTTGCCTTCCGCTATCTGTCCCTCTGGGCCTTATTTTCTCCGATCTTTCTCCGTGCTTGGGTGTGCGCACACACAACCGCACCCTATACTTCTGCCTTATCCGCCTATGCTCAACTAGGCTACCTGCTGACTCACCCTCAAATTCACTCAGTCTCCTTCCTGGTGCCATTGCCATTAACACTTCACTCTGAAGATGCTGACAGTGGATCAGCAAAAGCTAAGTTTGTTTTAGTATTGTAAATAGTTGCTTTTATTGTTTTAAATTTTTTAACAATAAACAGCTGATTTATATTCCTCCCGGAGTTCAAAGATTATGTATTATTGAATATCTATATCTATATCTAATATCTATCTATCTATCTATCTATCTATCTATCTATCTATCTATCTATCTATCTATCTATCTTGTTGTCTGTATTTTCCTAGAACATTGAAAGTAGTGATATTTTTTCTTAATTGCAACTCTTTTAAACTGTAATAAATCACTGAAATTCCATCTAGCAAGCAGCAATCATTCACCTTACCTTCAAGAGTTTTGCCACAGTGTTTACATGTGAAATGATGTGGCCAAGGCTTGTCTTCATCCCCAACAGGTATGTTGAAGTATGCTTTATAGGCCTCGCACATCTTTCACGGAGTACTTTTTTTACTCTTGTCTTGATAAATTGTCCACACACATAGCAAAATGCATCTGCTGGGAGAAAGCAAGTGATGCTAACTCAAATATTGCTATTCATTATTCTCTTACTCAGCAATTAGACAAAGTAAAATGCTGCTTTAAGGCAGCTGACCTTTAGAATTTTATGGACACTATGGGATAGTTCCAGAAAGTGCTAGAAAATTGTAAAAGATTTCAGAAAGATCTAGCAAATTCTGGCCAATTCTAGAAACTTCTGGACAGTTTTCAGTTCCAGAATATTTGGGAAGTCTACTAAGCATTCAATGTGAATTGAGAATGTTCTCGAAAACAGATAAATTTCAAAGTATCACTGTCCTGACCACAGAAACAACGTTTTTGTGGAACAATAGCTGTTTCCTATTTATTTTAGGCATAAGGTGTTAAAAAAAACACACTTTGCACCCAGGAACAAAAACTAAATTGAAATTTGTTACATAGTGCTGGGATCATATATTTATGTCAGAATTCACAGTAATATTTTATTCATGCTCAAAATAAATTGTATTAAAAGAATTTAATAAATATTCTTATTGATTAATTGTGCTTCCAATATTCTTTCTCCTGCAAGGAATGGGGATCTAGTTTACAAGAGCAGTGAAAACCAGATTTAAAAAAAAAAATAAAAAAAAATTCAAAACACAAGCAAACAAAAACTCTATGATAATAAAGTGTAGGAAAAGATGAGACATGAAATTTACATCCCTTCCTTTCTCTTCATTTCCCTGTCATTCCCTTCCCTTATTCCTTACATTTATCCCTAAATATTGTTACATCTCTATCTTTATTGACCTGAATTCTCTAGAAGCATTTCCTGAGTACATGGGGAAGTGGGGCGTTGATAGTTAGGTCAGTCCTTAGCATTCAGCTCGAAATTTCGACTCACATTTGCTTCAATAAGAGTACAAATCTGTGTACAGCTGGGGATTCTGCTTTATTAGCATCTCACTTCATTTAGAAAGGATGACTAGTGCAGTCCTCTTTCAGGCTACCAAACTTGATCCAACTCACTCAGCCGCCTGTGATTGCCCCAGGATCACTCAGCCACAGGAGTAGAACAGACCTTCCCCTGCTGATGGATCAAAACTCTTTAAGCTGTTGATCGAGCATATTGCAGGCATAGAAGTCAACATGTCTTTTGCTGGAATAGAAGAAACTTTATCTTGGTTATTGCCCCAAAATCATTAAGCCAACTATCATTCATACTGCAGGAGTAGAAATCATTGTTTCCTGATGCTCGGCTCAAAGTCACTTAGCTGCCTCTTGAGCTTATTGAAGAACAAGAACTCAGCATACCTATTACAGGAATAGAAATAAACATCTCTTTATTATTGGTCCAAAGTCACTCTGCTGGTTATCATGAATATTGCAAGAATGGAACTCATCTTCTCTTTTGATTAACCCAGTCACTTATCCACCAGTCATGCCTATTGCAGGAATAGAAATAATCATATCTTGCTGACTGTCACAAAGTCAACCAGACATCTGTAATTCACATTGAAGGAGAACACACCTTCTCTTGAACATTGGCCCAAAGTCACTTATTCACCAGTCATACTTATTGGAGGTGTAGAACTCATCATGCCTGTTGAAATAATAGAAATAATAATCTGTTGGTTATTGGCCCAAAGTCACTCAATCAATTGTTATGTATATTGGAGAGTAGAACTCATCTTCTCCTATTGATTACTTAGTAATTTATCCAACAGTCATGCTTACTGCAGAAGTCGAAATCACAATGCCTATTGTAGGAATAGAAGTCACCATTACTTGATTATTGGCAAAAGGTTACTCTGCTGACTATCATGGGTATTGCAAAAGCAGAATTAACCTTCTTTTGTTGATTAACAAAGTCAATGTGATGCCAGTTGTACAGAAGTAGTAATCACCATGCCTGTTGAAATATAGAAAAAAAAATTCTTGGTCATTGGTCCAAACTCGTTCAGCAAACTGTTGTGCGTATTGCAGGAATAAAACTCATCTTTTCTCAGCCTTCTGCCGAAAGTCATTCACCAAGCTTTTGTGAGTATTAGAGAGTATAAGTAAACTTTTGTTCATTTACTCATTCACTTATCCATCAGTTATGCTTATTGCAGGTGAAGAACACAACAGGCCTATTGCAGGAATAGAAATAACAATCTCATAGTTATTGGCACAAAGTTACTCAAGCAACTATTGTGCAGACTGCAGGAATAAAACTCACTTTCTACTTGTGATGTGCCCAAAGTCACGAGCTTTCATACATATTGTAGATTGCTACTCACTTTCTCCTGTTACTTTACTAAGTCACTTATCCACCAGTAATGATTTTTGCAGGTACAGAAGTCACTCTTTTCTCATTATTGGTCCAAAGTAACTCTGCTGATTATCGTATTTATTGCAAGAGGAGGACACACTTTCTTTTGTTGATTATTACAATAACTGATCTACCAGCTATGCAGGAATAGAAATCACCATACCTATTGCAGCAATAGAAGTAACAATCTTTTGGTTCTTGGCCCAAAGTCACTCAACAAACAATGGTGCAAACTTTGATCTTTCATGCATATTGAAGAGTACTCCTCACCTTCCCCTGCTGATTTATTCAGACACTTATCCACCATTCATGGTTTTTGCAATTGTAGAATTCACCATGCCTATTGCAAGAATAGAAATCTCTCTTGGTTATTGGTCCAGTCACTCAACAATTGTGCTGACTCCAGGAATAAAACTCACCTCTTCCTTGTGATCACTGATCTTTCATGAGTATTGTAAAATACAAAAAAAATTCTCCAGTTGGTTTTCTTGGTCACATATCAACCATTCCTTTTTTTGAACATCTAGAATTCACCATGCATACTGCACTAAAAGATAGAAGAATATCTTGGTTATTGGTACAAAGTCACGCTGCTGATTATTGTGAGAATTGCAAGAGCAGAATTCATCTTCTTTTTTGATTAATGCAGTCAGTGATCTTCCAGTCATGCAGGAATAGATATCTCCAAACCTACTGAAAGAATAAAAATAACAATTTCTTGGTTATTGGCCCAAATCACTCAACCAAATATTGTGTGGGCTGCAGGAATAAAACTCACCTTCTCCATTTGATTACTGACCTTTCATAAGTATTGTAGAGTACCATTCACCTTCTTCTGTGGATTTACTCACTCACTTATCTACCACTTGTTATTTTTGCACATTTTGAACTCACTATGCCCATTAAACTAAAAGAAATAACAATTTCTTGGTTATTGTACCGAAGTCACTCTGCTGATAATCATGAGAATTGCAAGATCAAGGCTTACCTTATTTTGTTGATTAACCCAGTAACTATTCTCCCAGCCGTGCAGGAGTGGAAATCTCCTTCCATACTGATAAAATAAAAATAACACTCTATTGGTTATTGGCCCAAAATCACTCACAAAATGCCCACATTATAGTAATAAAAGTCACCTTCTACTTGTGACTTGCCAAAAGTCATTGAGCTTTCATGCTTATTGTAGCATACCACTCACCCTCTCTTTTTGATTTATACAGTCACTTATCCACCACTTGTTCTTTTTTGCACCTGTAAAACTCACCATGCCTATTGCAGGATTAGAAATAAAACTCTTGGTTATTGGTTCAAAGTCACTCTGCTGATTATCATTAAAATTGTAACAGCAGAACTCACTTTCTTTTTTGATTAACATAGTCACAACTCTGCCAGTCATGCAGGAATAGAAATATCCCTACCTACTGAAAGAAGTCACCGATCTGCTAGTTGTGCAGTTGTAGCTGTCTCAATGCCTATTGTAGGAATAAAAATAAGATTCTCTTGGTTAATGGCCCAAAGTCACTCAACCAACTATTGTGCAGTCCAAAGGAATAATACTCACCGTCTCCTTGGGAAATGTCCAAAGTCATTGACTTTCATGCGTATTGCAGAGTACCACTCACCTCCTTTTGATTTAGTCACTCACCTATCCACGATTCATCTTCTTGCAGCTGTAGAACTTTCCATGACTACAGTAGGAATAGAATTAACAATCTCTGCTTGTTACTCTGCTTATTTTACTGAGAATTGCAAGAGCTGAACTCATTCTCCAGCATGGAAGGAATGTAGAATCCACACATAGGTATAAGAAGTCCTCTAGCCCAGTGGTTCTCAACCTTTTTAATGCCCCGACCCCCAACCGGTTGTAAGTCGAGATTGCTCAACCGGTCGTAAGTCAAGGACTACTCAACTGGTGCAGCACCATTTGCAGAATGGGACTTTTGGCGGGCTCAGCAGGGCAGAGACAGCCTGGACAATTCCTATTGGCTTTTGAAAGCCAATAGAATTAGACTCTATTCAAGAGAGTCTATTCTATTGGCTTTCAAAAGCCAATAGAATAAAAGGGAGTAGCACAGCTAAGGAAAAGGGGAAAAAAATGGCGGATTGCTTTGTTTGGTGACCCCCGTGAAATGGTCGTTCGACCCCAAATGGGGTCCCGACCCACAGGTTGAGAACTACTGCTCTAGCCCATTAGACCAAACAATCAAAGTTGCCATGCCCCTGCTGGGCCGGACCATGCCCCAGTTTCTTTTTGGTCTCAGCCCAGAAGAGAAGTGGTACTTTGGCTCCCGGATTGAAAAAAGATTTAGGAGGACAGCTAGTACAGTATTTGCCTTTACTCATTGCATGGATTCTTCATTCCTTTGGCCAAATAGCCAGCACTGGGCTCAGCACTGAACTAGCTGGCAATTAGCTTCTTTTCCTTGCCCTTGGCAAATTCGCCCGCTGCTCAGCTGATCAGCGCTATTGCTACTTTCTGCGCAGCGCGTTGATTGGTTTTTTCTCCTTGTAGCCTTTCCTGGTTCCCCCTTTTGGGGTTGATTCTGCCGGTCCCTTTCCTGCTGTTTCTCATAGATTTTGTTTTCTTTTGCTTTCGCCTTTTCCTTCCACGTGGACCGTCGCCGGCAACATTTTGAGGCTCACCGCGCGATCGTTCCTTTCCCAGCTGATTTTGATTACTTCTACTGTTCACTTTCCTCTGTCCGCGGGGTCAATCAGGGCAGTTTGGACCCTTTCCCTATGAATTTTGACCAGCGAGGGACAGTGTTTCCTCACTTTTGCTGGGGGTATAGGGGCTCCTATATACCTCATTGCATCCCAGGCCCTGCATCTCCAATATCATGGACACCATTTTAGGCCACCATGTGGCTGACGGTGGAATTTCAGTTTTCATTTTCCTCTGCATCCTAGAGGTTTCATTTGCCATTAATCAGTTGCTATCTGCATTTTTCTTTGAACATACAATGATAAACACCTTCCACATTCCTGCCTTCCAGATTGCTCTAACTGTTGAGCTACAATCAATTGGGCTGTTTCTTACCTTGCCTGTTTCTGCTGTCTGCATCTAGTGGACTGGCAATTGCTGTGCTAGCCACCACTAAGTGAGACACGAGGGTCATCCATTAAAAATAATAATAATAAATAAAAATAATAATAAAAATAAATACTATTAATAAGTCAATTGTTTACAGTACTAAGAACCAAGGACACTGAACAATTGAAAGGGGAAAGTACAGCTCCCTTGGGTGGCATGCGACTTACATCTCGCAGTGTGACTCTGCGCTTAATGGTGGGCCAGACTTCACAAACCCTCATGTAGGCCTGTACCACCTAGGTGGGCCGTATCCTCATCTCCTGCAGACCAGGACAGCTTCAGAGATCTGCTGGTAAACTCCTGTTTTTATTCAACATGGCGGATAACACCGTTCCACAGGCTTCCACTTCCAGTGGAAATAAGAAACACAAGTCGTCCAACCAAGAAGCAGCCGCAAAGATCAAGGCCAAGACTAAATGGGCCTCTAAGGTGCTGAAAAGCAGGCAGGTAGCAGGCATAGGGCGTTGGATCAGGTTCTGGCCACTGAAATAATCTCTCCCTCAGTGACTTGTGGAACCCCGGAGAGTTTCTCTCTTACGGGTCTGCCTCAGATTCTGTCGGCATCTTTCACTCCTATGGCGTCGGACCTCCGGTCCCTGGAACAACCTTCATTTATTATCCAGCTCCAGGCCATGATTTCGCAGGCGGTGGCTCAAGCCATGGCCGCTTCTGCGAGGGCCCTACTGAGCCTGGGGCCATCAACCCTCCCTCCGTCTGTGGGAACTGCATGGCCCAGGGATTACAAGTTCCCAGATTCGGCCTCACCACCACATTCTGGTGGCAGCGAAGTATCCAAATATTTTGAGCAGGTTCTTGAAGAGGGACTGTGGTCAGGTGATGAGGACACCCCCACAGAGGCCACTCCCTTGGTAGGCATATTCAATCCTTCTTCTTTCCCTTCACTCTTATGCAAGGCCTGCGCCAAAGATCGAGCCGTTAAAACCCCAAGCGTCCGATCAGGATTTTGGCCAGAGTTCTGATACACTGTTTTCGGAACCAGTCACAAAGAGCCAGCAGATACCTTGCCCTCTCATGTTTTTGAAATCCATTCAGGATCAATGGGGTTCTCCCGGCACCTTCTCGGCCCTTGGGGGAATAGACCGTAAACTTTTAGATACGGTCTCTATCCTCAATGATGCGCTGGAGGTCTCGGGAGTAGATGAGTCTCTTTCTCCCATTTTGTCAGACTCTAAGATTCCGAGGGATATGTCTGAGGCTCTGAAGGCTGAGGACAAAAAATCTGAGGTTTCTTTCCATAGAACACACCAGGCCTCAGCATGGGCGATAAGAGCTTCCACATCAAACTCCTTTTTTGCCAGGATTTCACTGATGTGACATTGCGAACTTCAGTCCAGAATCTCCCCAGATGATGTAAGAGTGCACCAGATGTCACAAAATTACGGGCAGCACTAGAATACATGGCAGACATGTCTTTGCAATCAGCCAGATTTTCGGCCCATGCCACAGCCTCTAACACAGCAGTTCTCAACCTGTGGGTTGTGACCCTTTTGGGGGTCACACAAGCCTTTCACAGGGGTCGCCTAAGACCATCGGAAAACAATATTTCTGATGGTCTTAGGCAGGGCTTGTCAAATGCCTTCTCTCCCTTCCCCCCTCCGCTCCACCTCACTTGTTTGTGGAAAATATGCTGCTTGGCGGCAGTCTGCATGAACTCTACCAAATGTGCCCTGCAGGGGGTGCATGAAGAGCGCAGGCGCAGTACAAGGCCCTGTCCTCCCCAGAGACTAATTGTGTAGCAACCGGATTGACTTCTCAAGCACGCAGGTCAGCGAAGGGGAGGCTGCCACAGCACCCAACTCCTGCGCCCGTCAGCCAGGAGGTCTGGCGACAGCTGCCAGTCTCCTTTACCACCCCGCCTGTCCTCGACTCCTCCTCCGCCCATTCATATTGAGCCTGCCGGGGCTGGACAGGAAGAGAAGGAAGGAGGAAGAGACTCCTCCTCCTCTCCTAAGCTTCAAAGCACGATCGGCTTCCCAAGGGTGCTACAATCCTCACAAAAGTGGGGGGGGAAGCAAACGGGGTGAGAAAGCTCATGGCAGGCTCGAAGGAGCACCTGTCAGCATTGGTGACGAGAAATTCCCCACAAACCCAGGGAAGGGGTGGAGAAAAGGAGCCCCCTTTGGGAGGAAACCACCACCTTCTTCTCCTTGGCTTTCCGCTCTTCTGTTCCTCGGCAGTCGGGCTGCCAAGCCTTTGCTGGCTGGAACTTCCTTTCCTTCCTTCCCTCTTGGTCTCTTCCTCCTTTCCTCCCTCTCCCATTGTCCCTTCCTTCTTTCCTTTCACCTCCCTTTTTGTCTCTCCTTCCCTCCCTCTTTCCCCTTGTCCCTTCCGTCCTTCCTTCCTTCCCTCTTGTCCAGGATCGGGGCGAGCCTCTACAGGTGATCTGCGCTTCTGCAGCTGTAGCTGCTCTCCTTGGCTCCTGCCCAGAAAACTTGCTTGAGTTTGATAGAAAACGTGCAGCTTGCTAATTTAGCAGAAGTGCGAATCAGCTGTAGCCCGGCACTGATCCTGGAGCTTCTGCTAACTTAGCAAGCGGCATGTCTTTCGGCGAAGCTGAGCAAGTAAGCTGGGCATTGCTCTCCTGTCTCTGCCTGTGCACAGGCAGGTTTGCTGGCAGCAAAGCCCCCAGCCACGCTGGCAGCCTATCCCCCTCCCCTTGTCTCTTACTGGGCAGGGGGGAGGAAGGAAGGGACTAAGAGGGAGGGAAGTAAGAAATAATGAGAGAAGGAAGGAACAGTGGAAGGGAGGGAAGGGAGGAAGGGAAGAAGGGACAAAGAGGAAGGAAGGAAGGAAGGAAGGAAGGAAGGAAGGAAGGAAGGAAGGAAGGAACAAGGGGAGAGAGGGAGGTAAGGAGGAAGAGACTAAGAGAGAGGGGAAGGAAAGGAAGGAAAGAAGGAAGGGACAATGGGAGAGAGGGAGGGAAGGAGGAAGAGACTAAGGGAGGGGAAGGAAGGAAAGAAGGAAGGGACAATGGGAGAGAGGGAGGGAAGGAGGAAGAGACTAAGGGAGGGGAAGGAAGGAAAGAAGGAAGGGACAATGGGAGAGAGGGAGGGAAGGAGGAAGAGACTAAGGGAGGGGAAGGAAGGAAAGAAGGAAGGAAGGGACAATGGGAGAGAGGGAGGGAAGGAGGAAGACACTAAGAAGGAGGTGAAGGAAAGGAAGGAAAGAAGGAAGGAACAATGGGAGAGGAAGGAAAGAAGGAAGAGACTAAGGGAGTGAGGGAAAGGAAGAAAAGAAGGAAGGAAGGGACAAGGGGAGGGAAGGAAGGCAGGCACCCACCCCAGTCCCGTCCCAGAGACCCACAGATTCCCCCCCACAGGCACTCTGCAACCTGAGTGATCAGCTGGCCATGCCCCCTGGCCACTGATCACGTGACCCTGGGACACTGTGAATGTCATAAATATGAATCAGTTGTCAAGCATCCGAATGTAAATCACATGAT